TGGAGACTATCAAGGCACAGTGCTCCGAGAGATTGAGACTTTTGGAGATTTAGAACTTGGAGTAGATCAGTTTATTCAAGGTCTATAGGCACAGAGTGGGAATTTAATGTATGAATATTTGGGCCGAAGTTCACCAGCCACAGCGGGTAACCGCGTAATATTCGTTAACTGTCGACAGGCAGCTAGTATCATACTTTAGGGTAAGGTGATACAGACTAACAGCACAGGTAACAGCCAAAAGCCCATACAAGCATGTTTTGCCGATATTCTGCCGCTGCATGACAGAGCTGCAGGGGGTTAGGCTCACCTGTAAATATATATATATATATATATATATATATAGGCAGAATAACATTACCGACAAAGACAAGGGAGACTGGAATGGCCATTTCTGGCTTATTAGCCGTCGTCAGCCAGCCATACCCAAGCCCCAAGTGTGGAACACCCGAGCCTCGAACTCGCGACCTGTTGGTTTAGAAGTCAACGCCTCTACTCACCGGGCCACGAGCCCGTTGCCTTGTCGGTTTTCGATCGGGAATATACAGCGGTAGGGGGCGCTCACCGATCGTTCATACGGAACTCACTCGTTCCGTTGTGCCTTAAGAGCTCTCTCTCGAGCCCAACCAGCAGCCGCACAGCGGCGCATGATACATAGGCAGAATAACATTACCGACAAAGACAAGGGAGACTGGAATGGCCATTTCTGGCTTATTAGCCGTCGTCAGCCAGCCATACCCAAGCCCGAAGTGTGGAACACCCGAGCCTCGAACTCGCGACCTGTTGGTTTAGAAGTCAACGCCTCTACTCACCGGGCCACGAGCCCGTTGCCTTGTCGGTTTTCGATCCGGAATATACAGCAGTAGGGGGCGCTCACCGATCGTTCATACGGAACTCACTCGTTCCGTTGTGCCTTAAGAGCTCTCTCTCGAGCCCAACCAGCAGCCGCACAGCGGAGCATGATACATAGGCAGAATAACATTCTGCCTATGTATCATGCGCCGCTGTGCGGCTGCTGGTTGGGCTCGAGAGAGAGCTCTTAAGGCACAACGGAACGAGTGAGTTCCGTATGAACGATCGGTGAGCGCCCCCTACCGCTATATATATATATATATATATTTATATATACTGCTAGCGACCTACTAGCAGTTAATGAATATTACGCGGTTACGGCTGTGGCTGATGCATTTCAACCCAAATATTCATGCAAAAAATATCTATCTAAGCCTGTAGACCTAGAATATACTGATCTACCCAAAGTTCGCAGTTAATTTCTGAGGAAATTAAAAAAACAGCGTTCCCTTCTTTCCTTACGAAGCCCCTTTTGTTTCCTCCTCCTCCTCGTCCTCCTCCTCGTCCTCCTCCTCCTCCTCCTCCTCCTCCTCCTCCTTTTCCTTATCTCGTGCTGCTGCTGCTGATTCACCACAAGTTGCTCGGTCTTCCTTGGCAAAATCCAGCATTACCCCAACCACTCGAATCCAACCCAATAGAGATCCTGTTTCTTTCTTTGTCAGCTCAACTGTTTAGTCATGAAGAAAGATCTCGATTCTGGACAGTAAAGCCGAAGCTCCTACATTAGGTGATCTAATTGATGAAATTTGCGCTATCTCAAAATTCGGAAAGATTATTTAAGAAATTCTGTAGTATTAATTGCCATGCAGCACAATCCGAAGGCATTTTGATCATATAAGGTTGCCGGCTCTAAACGAGCTCCGTTCAATCCGCCTGCAAAACTGCACTCTGTAAAAATGACTGTTTTAATAGTATGAATGTTTGCCAGGGATTTTCAATATCCTTTTAAGTTAAAGTATATTTTATAGAAAACATACATTAAACTATTTTGTCTTATATCTATTTAATGGCAAGCGGCATCTTTTTTTAATTTCTGCGACCGGAGAAAGTGTGTCCATCGGTTTTAAAAGGTTCTAATTATGAGATTTGCTAAGACCGTGAAATGTCTAATTATGCAGCATTGAATCTGCATGTTTATCAAAGCTGTTTTTAAAGTATTTGGCATGGTCCACATCCACTGCAAAGTTAATTGAATGATTTTTCTTAGACAGAGAATGCGCAAACTATAGTTTGGAAACCCTGAATGCAAGTGTAAATGCAGGTCGGGTTCAGAATTATTCTGGTATTGAAAGGCTTTATAAAACCGAAAGGCACTCTGTCTTCAGGTGTAAAGCATGGAGAAGATATAATTTTCTACTGAATGAATTCGAGAAGGGATGTTTTTATGCAGGTTTTCTATAAAATATATTTGGACCCATAAGGGGAGAAATTCATAATACTCAAGTAATCATGTTTTTACAGAGCGTGTTTTTTGCAGGCGACCCAAAAGGAGCTCGTTAAAAGGCAGAATAAATAGCTTGAAGTTATGCAGCACGATAGCTAATATTACAACCCAACCTACAGTGGGTGATTGATCTCATGAAATGTTGGCTGAAATTCTGAAATGTGTTTTCGATTAGGAAGGATTACTTAGTCGCGGTTGTAATACTGATTATTTTAAGGCATACTCTTATAACATTTCGGACTTGGCAGGATGTCAGCTTTTAAGTGCACTCCTTTTCAATCTCCTGTAGAAAGCGTGCTCAGTAAAAAATGCCTACTTAAGTAGCATGCATTTTTACCATTGATTTTCGATGGTCTTGGAAATTTAAATATACCTTATAGAAACCAAAAACAAAAATATGCTTTCTTTTAGTCAATCAGTAGAGAATCACGTCTTCTTTATATTTTATACTTAAGGGAGGGGTATAATTAGGCTTTAAAAAGTTTTCTAATTTCCGAATAATTTGGAGCCTGATCATTCGTTGCATTAGCGCTTAGTGATTTCACTCTACAAGGTGCATGCGTTCCGCGTCGGAAAAATCACATATTTTTCTGCGCCATTAAAGAGATATCATACAGAATCCATAAAATTTTGCAATGGACGCGGACCATGTTGTACATTTCACGAGGAGCGGTGGTAAACGGCCAGGTACGATGCTATGTGAATGGACATATCGCGGTCTTAAAAAGTCTCATAATTGGAAACTTTTTTAAAACCTAATTATACTCCTTCCTTAAGTATAAAATATAAAGACGTGATTCTCTGTTGATTGACTAAAAGAAAGCATATTTTTGTTTATGGATTCTATAAGATATATTTGAATTTCCAGAACGATCGAAGATCAATGGGAAAAATGCATGCTACTTAAGTAGTCATTTTTTACCGAGCACGCTTTTTACAGAAGATTAAAAAGAATTGCGTTTAAAAGCTGACATCCTGCCAAGTCTGAAATGTTATGAGAGTATGTCGCAAGATGATCAGTATTACAACCGCGACCAAGTAATCCTTCCTAACCGAAAACGCATTTCAGAATTTCAGCCAACATTTCATGAGATAGGTCACTCACTGTAAGTAATCTTTTATAATCGTAGGCACATTTTAGAATTTCCGTTAACATTTCATGCGATAGCACATCTACAATACAACAAGTGAAGTCCGGCGTTAAGTGTTATACAGTAATGCGATGTATTCATTCAGCGGACAACGCGATCCACCAAATCTACTCGGAAACCACTACAGAGCGCAAAGTTGCAGTGTGCACTTATTTAGGTTGGTCAGATGCTCTGAACGCGTGTGCTATGCCAGTATCAGCAAACCATGGCCATTGGAGCCTGGTATGCGCTGGCTGTTCGCTGACGCCTAGTTCCCTGCCGGTAGATGCGCTTGCACTCCCTCTGGGTATACAGGCCGTGATCATGGCTGCCCAGTCATCATCATCTTCCTTCTAACTCGTCGTGGTGTTGTTGGTGGTGAAAGGTCCTGGTCAAGTGTACGTTGTGGACGAGGGGGTGTGGTGGCACGCATAGGTGCGGGTCCGGCGGTGCCAGTTACCTGCGTCCTCCACCGCCTCCAGTCTTCTTGACTCTGTCTTGACACCGAGTCCGGTTGGGCAGAGGTGAAGAGAGGGTGCGGTTGATGTTGCGCAAGTGTAATATCGCTATAAACGCATTCACGCGCAAGCCCCCGTGTCTGCTACACCTTACCGTGTAGCACTCGGTGGACATCGTCGGAACTGACGGTCGAACTGTGAGTATTTATTTAGGTTACGTGCTAGCATTATAGTGAACGTGGAGTTTGGAGGCAGAATTTAAGTGGCACCATCCTGGTTAGTTTAAAAGCCAGTGAGTGCGATAGAGGCCTAGGTAACAGGAGAACACAGTTCCTGGAATATGAGTAGAACTGGTGAATTCTACAATTTGTAGCAATGATAAATTATTCGTTGGCACTGTCGTAGCACCGGCCCCAGACAGCTGGAGAAAGAGCGCGTGCAGTAGATGCAATGCAAGATTTCTAGCACTATAAACTAACTTACGCGCAAGTAACCGTCCCTGTGCCCACCCTGCACTACGCCCACTATAAACTGACCTACGAACAAGCCACCGTTCCTGCTTCCCTATGCTGTGGCGTACTCGGTGGACATAGTGGAAATCGACGGTCAAAATACTGCCAGCCAACCATATCCAAACTCAGGTCTGGACAACCTGAGGCTCTTACTCGGATTCTCCGATCATTGTTCTTTACTAATTTCGATGTCCTACCATTGAACCACGGGCTCGTTGCCCTGTCGGTTGTGATCGGGAATATTTACTACATTAGTGCTGGTCGCTATGCGACTATCACAATGTGGAGACGGACGGGCATCTCCTATAAACCGATCAGTGACGACATTTCCACCATAATCTACGGTTGGCCAATCAGGTGGTTAGTGGAACTCAAAGTTGCCACAGTGCATGACTTAGTTGGGGGATTAAGCCATCTGTTGGATATCCAATGCTTGTTGAGGACTTACAATAGGTGGGCTAACTCATGAAATGTTAACCGTAATTCCGAAATGAGTTCCCGTTTCGAAAAGATTAATTAAGTAGGTTTGTAAAACTAGTCAGCCTGCAACATAATTGTATAATATTTCAGTTACCTCAGGATGCCGGCTTTCGAAAGAACTTCCTTCCGACTGCATGCAAAAGCTACACTTTTTATTAAATAACTACTTGAGTAGCGTGCATTTTTCCCATTGATTTTCGATGCCCTTAAAAATGCAATTATATTTCATACAAAACATGCATAAAATTATTTATTCTTTCGCTCATTCCGTAGAAAATTACGTCTTCTTTCAATTTGATACTCGAAGGATGGACATAATTCGGTTTTAAAAAAGTTTCTAATTGTGAGACTTTTTAATAACGTGAAATGGTCGTTCATAAAACGTCAGGGCTCTGCACTTACCAATGTGGCTTGTAAAGTTAATAATATGGATCTAACCTAATGCTAAATTTTATGAACCCCATGCAGTCGCCTCCTAATACCGTGGAGAAATGTGCGGTTTCCCATACGCGGAATATACATGGCTTGTAGTTTGGAAACCCTGAATGCGAGTGTGACGGTAGATCGGGTTTAAAATGATTCGGGAATTGGAAAAGTTTTTAAAAACCGAATAATACCCTTCCTTTGGGTATCATATTAAAATAAGACGTAATTTTCTTCCGAAAGAGCGGAATAATTAATATTTTTATGCATTTTTTATGAAATATAATTAGACTTTTAGAGGCATCGAAATTCAATGAGAAAAATGCATGCTACTTACGCAGTCATTTTTTACAAAGTATAGTCTTTGCATGCAGCCGGAAGGGCATTCTTTCGAAAACCGGAATCCTGAGGTAACTGGGTTATTATAGAATTATCCTGCAGACTGATTATTTTTACAACCCTATTTAATTAATCTTTTCGAAACGAAAACGCATTTCGAAATTGCAGTTGACATTTCATGAGTTAGCCCACCTACTGTATTTAATGTATTTCGTGGATGCCTGTAGTTCATTTAAGTAGTGTCAATCGATGCCCAGTAAGCAGGCAAGGATAACTCCCGCGACGGTCCGTTTCCTGTCTTTTAAACCAAATATATGCAAACATACAGAAAAATCCAAGTCTGCACAGTTATTAGGAGTTTACCTAGCGCCACGGACACAATTTCTGCCTTGACATCTGGTCTGCTAGGGGCTAAAAACCTACTTGGTCAAGGACTTATTAGAGTGTGGATTCCAGGGCAACGCTGACTGTGGTAGCTCCATGCGCCTGATGGAGTAGCTTGTTGCTAGCAGTAAGGTAGATGTTATCTGCCGTCACAAAACACAATGCGGACATGATATTTTTTTACAAAAAACTTTAATGAAGACGAATCGCTTGAAATGGCTATATTTTATCACTTCGGTTGGAAATCTATTGTTCCCAGTAGCCAATTTTACTTAAATATCAAAATGTTAGCTACACGAAAGTATCGGTGTCAAGATAAAGCATTCACAGACACGACCGGCTGGCAGGCTGACGACGGCCACTAAGGCCGAAACGGCCATTTCGGTCTCACTTGCCATTGCCGGCACCCCCTTAAATACAAATACTACCAGTTGCAACGCAAATAACTGCAAAAATTCAGTTTTGCTGGTCACCGAGGATGCACAGTCAGTTCGTTAATTGTTCTCAGTTAATGTGAAATCACGTTAACTTGCAACCACAAAAATTGAAGAGGGAAATACTTTTGCCCTCCAAATATCCAACATTTCATCTAGAAATTTAAAAATTCCCCCATATATCTTGCCTAAATATAATTCGACATTTTCTTACGGATTAATCAGAAAGGGTTACCTGGAAGAGTTTTGCTGGCAAAAGAGAGTTCCAAAGACCTGGAACAGTCCCGCATTTTTAGGAAAAAATAAACGAAGGCTTTAACTTAAAGACACTTGTTGCGACAGAAGCCGTAGTGGGCAAGGGCGATTACTCAACCCAGTTGTCAAGAGACAATATTCGCCCCAAAAACAAACCTTTTTCAGGTCCACTGATTAGTTTATCCGAGTCGCAGTTAACAAAACGAAAAAATGCATACTCAAATAGACAGTTTCACAAACACGGACTCTTGTGTGTGTGTGTGTGTGTGTGTGTGTGTGTGTGTGTGTGTGTGTGTGTGTGTGTGTG